CTTCGGACAGCTGACCTTGCAGTTAGCAGTCCAATGCTTACCTGAGTTGCTAGGGTTCCATAACTCTTGGATTGGGGAGGAGAGTCTACATTTTGAACACGTTCCCAGGTGATGCTAATAGTACTATTCCAAGGAAGTTGAGATTCCAAACAAATGTCTTTGCTCTCTAAATTTTTTTTTTTTTGCTCTCTAATTTTTAAACAGTTTTAAAAGTTTAAAAACAACGAGAAACATACTGGTATATCATAGGACTTATGCCTAATTTAAAAAAAAAACTAAAGGCACATTCAGGTCACCTTTCAGTCACACAGAAGATTTAACAGTAAAATAACATCAGCCAAACAACTGATTTGTTTATAAAATATCATTTGCATAATGTGGCCATAAGCAATTGACTGTATAAGACCAAATGGTCAACATTTATCCAGAAGCAAAGATGAGAATGCAATAGAAAAAGGACAAACAGAATGGAAATAATAAGAATGCCAACCTGTGAATCAATACAGAAATTATAAACGGGAATATAATTTACTATGTAAACTTTTACCTAGAAAACAGAAGCAAAAACAACTAAAAAAAACCAACAAACAAATGGCACATTATGAACCTTTAAAAATGTTAAAAGAGGGGGTAAAAAAAAATCAGACTTATTTAAAGAAATAAAGTTAGCATGTCAGCTTGGATTTCATCAATAAGGTACTGATTAAATAAAAGATGCCACTAGTCATATAAGGAGCCCTGATGGCAGAGAGGTCAGCAAAGAAGGTTATGGCATCTGTTTGGGGGGGATTACAAGGGTGGTCTTCTTAATAGATTCTCTCCAAGGATACAGGATGATCATGGGGAAGAACTTAAAAAAAAAAAAAAAAAAGGAAATGTGCACAGGTGCAAAATGTCAGAAAGTTGTGCTCATTCTTTGATGGTAGCAAAGGCTGAGAATTTTATGGGGAAACCTTACTTGATCTACCCCTTCAGATTTTCTTTTTGTCCCCCAAACTCAAAGAATATTTAAAGGGAATATGATTTGAGTCCCTTAAGGATTCCCAAACTACTGTTTTAATGTGGTATAAATCAAAGGGTACAGACCTAGATGGAGGGTATGTCAAGAAACAATAACTTCACATTTTGTTATTCGTGTTTAATATGTTTCTAGTACTTTATACCTTTTTTTCTTCACATTTCCTCGTATGAGTAATAATACCCCCATTGCACTGAGTTGACTGCAATTCATAATGATCCTGTAAGTCACAATGGTTTCTTAGACATTTAGCTTTCACAGACCCTTGTTTCTCTTGCTGAGTGACTGATGGATTTAACCCACTGACCTTGAATTAGCAGTTCAGTGTGTAACTTACTATGCCACCACAGCTGCTTATAGAATAATACCGGTTTTTTTTGACTCATGTTTTTTGCTCAGTGGAGTAGCTGAGTATTCACCTATGCTTTTGCATGTTATCAGTTCACTATATTTTAATACTGTGTAGTAGTCCAATAGAATATACTCCTGTTTATGTTTTTTTCCTCTTGATGGGATTTGGGTTGTTTCCAGTTTGGAGGATTATGTAGAATACAATGAACCTCTTGCACACATCTTTCGTTAGATAGATATACGCACGCACTCGCTTTTCTTGAGCACTTCTCTGGGAGTGGAACTGTACAGATATAGAGCTTATCTTTGGCTGTTTGGTTTCATGATCTTACTGGCAATGCCTAAGTATTTCTTTCTTTTTTATTTTTTAATGCCTGAGTATTTCAATGCTTCACACTCTTTTCATCACTTGATGTGATCAGTCTTTAAAATTTTAGTCCTTTGAGTAAAAGGTATTTTGTGTTTGCATTTATTGTTTGCATTTCTCTAATGACAAATGTTCAAACTGACCAGTTATCTGCCTTTGCAAATTGTCTACAAGTTTGGGGACCATATTTTAAAAACTCATCTTTTTTTTTTTTTTTTGCTAGTTTGCCGAATTCTTTCTTTATCCCCAACTGTGTCCTTTGTCAGATATGTTTATCTGCCAAATATGTTCTTCTAAATTATGGTTTGCCTTTCCATTTTCTTAAGTCTTTTAATAAACACAAGTATTTAATTTTTATAAAGCTCATTTCCATTCAACCTTTTCTTTTCCTTTTAGTTGTTATGTGTCATATGAAATCTTGCCTGCCCCAAGGACCATGAAGAAATTCTATTTTTAGAAACATAAGTTTTTTTTAAAAGGCGGTAAAAGATAAATACAACATTTTTAATATGAACAAGTCAATGACAACAACTCCATTAATCATGTGTGTAACCATCACTAGTATCCACTGATACGTTTTCCATAGCCATAAAAAAGGCACTCAAAAGAGGTATAATAGTCTTTTGAATGAACAAAAATTCTTACGTTTAAAAAAATATATATCTGTAATATAAATACATGACACAGAAACATTCACTTTTGGCACCACCTAAAATAATTTCTAGCAGTACTTATTATTCTTCATATCTTCGGGAATATATTTAAAATTTCACCAATTAAATTTTCTCCTTTTCTTCCAGAGGGAAAATCTTTGCCCACAAACTTGAATTGGTATTTCAAAAGCAAAGAAATTCTTAGGTTTTAATGAAGTCTAATTTGCCGTCCCCACCCCTTATGTCATTCTATGTCAAAACAGCCTCTGGAACAAAGAAGAAATGAGTTTCGTGTCCTTAAATTAGGCAAATATTTTTCAAATGGAATACCAGAAGCACTAAAGAAATCTTAGTCTAACCCAAGGGGGATGAGGCAATTCC